GATTTAAAATATTTTCAAGTTTGTAACTTCACCGCTAGGGGGCGCAACTGCTATAGTGTTACAGAAAATTCTCGGTTTTTCTAAATTTTGCTTATATAACCTAAGTTGAAAATACATTTTTTAGATACACTGTTAAACCCTTTACAAGTTTTGTTTGAACTTTTTATTTGTTATTACTATAGCAACGTCAGTATGAAGGACGCTATCTTGAAATTTTTCTAAACGATGGCTCATTTTAAAGAACTATTAATAAAATTTATTTTTATGATATAGGAATAAAAATATTATTTTCCTGCGCAACGGTAGACGACGCTAATGATAAAAGTTCTGTAATGGTCTCCGTTTACTAAAAAAATTAAATGCAACGATATAGGTTTTTTTCATGGCTTGATAGACCATTCGTTATGGAAAACAGATACACAAACCGGAGGTCGATATCTTTTTTCGTTTTCAAGTTATTGCTAAAATAGTGAAATTGTCATCCTCCTTTATTTAGTTCTCTAAATAACATTGACATAATCCAAGCCAAAATTAAATTGTAAAACTATACCAATCTTGTCCTTAAAAAGAATTATTGCTTCATTTAGAAATTTTTTTTGATAACTGTAATATTAATAATATTATCTTTCATTCCTGCAAGTATTAATAAAATTTATTTTTATGATATAGGAATAAAAATATTATTTACCTGCGCAACGGTAGACGACGCTAATGATAAAAGTTCTGTAATGGTCTCCGTTTACTAAAAAAATTAAATGCAACGATATAGGTTTTTTTCATGGCTTGATAGACCATTCGTTATGGAAAACAGATACACAAACCGGAGGTCGATATCTTTTTTCGTTTTCAAGTTATTGCTAAAATAGTGAAATTGTCATCCTCCTTTATTTAGTTCTCTAAATAACATTGACATAATCCAAGCCAAAATTAAATTGTAAAACTATACCAATCTTGTCCTTAAAAAGAATTATTGCTTCATTTAGAAATTTTTTTTGATAACTGTAATATTAATAATATTATCTTTCATTCCTGCAAGTATTAATAAAATTTATTTTTATGATATAGGAATAAAAATATTATTTACCTGCGCAACGGTAGACGACGCTAATGATAAAAGTTCTGTAATGGTCTCCGTTTACTAAAAAAATTAAATGCAACGATATAGGTTTTTTTCATGGCTTGATAGACCATTCGTTATGGAAAACAGATACACAAACCGGAGGTCGATATCTTTTTTCGTTTTCAAGTTATTGCTAAAATAGTGAAATTGTCATCCTCCTTTATTTAGTTCTCTAAATAACATTGACATAATCCAAGCCAAAATTAAATTGTAAAACTATACCAATCTTGTCCTTAAAAAGAATTATTGCTTCATTTAGAAATTTTTTTTGATAACTGTAATATTAATAATATTATCTTTCATTCCTGCAAGTATTAATAAAATTTATTTTTATGATATAGGAATAAAAATATTATTTACCTGCGCAACGGTAGACGACGCTAATGATAAAAGTTCTGTAATGGTCTCCGTTTACTAAAAAAATTAAATGCAACGATATAGGTTTTTTTCATGGCTTGATAGACCATTCGTTATGGAAAACAGATACACAAACCGGAGGTCGATATCTTTTTTCGTTTTCAAGTTATTGCTAAAATAGTGAAATTGTCATCCTCCTTTATTTAGTTCTCTAAATAACATTGACATAATCCAAGCCAAAATTAAATTGTAAAACTATACCAATCTTGTCCTTAAAAAGAATTATTGCTTCATTTAGAAATTTTTTTTGATAACTGTAATATTAATAATATTATCTTTCATTCCTGCAAGTATTAATAAAATTTATTTTTATGATATAGGAATAAAAATATTATTTACCTGCGCAACGGTAGACGNTATTGTTTTTTCTTTTTTCGATTCATTTTAAAAACAGAAACGTAAACTTTCCACTGCTACAGGGAATACCGTTTAGGACTTGAACAACGCTCCGTAAATTACGTAAATTATTCAATTTAAATAAATAAAAACATATGTAGTTACAGTTTAGTTTGTTAGAGGTCTCTCTCAATGTATCTATATAAACAAGTCGCGAAAAAAACGCTTTGTCTAGTAGTGCACTTATGTTTGCGTAATGCAGTCATGTTTTGTGTAAAAAATTAATAATAAATAATAATAGTGTAAGTGAATAAACCTTTATTATCTTTTTAGACAATGCATTACATAACTATTATATAAGATTAGTCAAAACAAAGTAAATACAGAACATAAATCAATAAATAGTAAATTAATTCATATGTACACCTAAACAATACAATTAAGTTTAAAATTATTGTATATGAAATTATTTGTCTTAAAATCTTAAAAACATTGGTCTTTTTGATAAGTTTTCAGGTTTTTCTTGAAAGTCTGTATAGTCGTTAGGTTTTTATATAATTATGTGGGTCGTGACTGATAATCTAAATATACATCTAGTTGACCTAAAATATATTAGGTGATTGACAATGTAATGTACAAAAAGAGGGAAAGTCAAGGGACAATTGCGCCAAAGGGTTTTTATTGTCTCGTCCGTTTGTTGTTCACCACTTCACTCATTCACTCAGCGCCTAAAGATAATAACATCGCAAAATGCTATTAAATTTAGGAGTGCATTTTAGAGAAAGGGGTGCATTTTTGTTTTTGATCTGACATGGTAGTATTACCGCAAAAACATAATTCGTATCGGATCCGTGATTCAACTTTGCATAATATAAATTAAGCAGTTGTTAATGCTACAAATTTTGATATTTTTAAGTAGGTACCTATTATGGAATTTACTCTGGAAATTAAATTTTTACAAGTTCTCCATTATGTATTTGGATGTATGCATACTTAAAAACTTAGGTATATTAGATTTTTTCATGTGAGTAGTAAATGTTAATATTATTACATAATTTCAGTTTGTTATAAAACCCCATTGCAAATATTTTCTTTGTTTGAAACCATATCCTTAAGTTATTTGTTACATTACTACATATTGGTTTTAACAATTCGTCACTTTTACTTGACATTGTTATAGACGTTATCAGCGTTAACAAAAAATTGAACGAATATCGAATAAATATTCATGTCATTCACTATAACAAAAACAGTACCTACTGGACCTAATTATCTAGGTAGATCTTTACTGAACACCTATACTGATTTCTGTTATTTCTGAATACATAGTTTCTATAGATTTAATGCCACTATAATTAAGAGAAACACTTTTAGAAAGAAAACTTTAGGCTCATTAAGAGAGTATAATAAATTTTCTAAAACTCCACATTCCAATATCTTTGAAAAACCTATTAAGTATATAAGTGTGGCCTGAAATGTTTAATTAATAAATTTAAAACTCTCTTTATTAAGAAGATTGGTAAATAGTCAGGCAGAAGAGCCTTTGATTTTATTTTTTTTTTCGGGTTGTTTTATAAGCAACACGTATAATTCATATATATGGTGTTATATAACTGTATAGTTTTTTTTTAGAAGAATACATTGTTATATTAACCACTTGAGGAATCTTTTGTAAGAATCGTTCGTATTTAATTAATTACATTTTTTTGGACTTATTCTGTAATTTTATTAGATAATTCCGAAATTCTATTCCAAACGCTGACTTTGATGGATTATCGGAAGTACTTAGTTTAGACTGATATATTTTTTTGTATATTGCACTGAAGAATTATGTAGGTATTTTATATTATTGCACAATCATTAGATTATCAAAAATACAGATTTTTCTCTTTTAGGGATATTAAACATTTTCGTATTTTCGTAACTATAGTACAAAATAAAAATAATGTTAGTTTCAGTTTTTAATCTTATAAAATCGTGTGCCATAGCCATTATTTTAATCTAGCCCTGGAAATGGTAAAATAGTATACAGTGCTGTCTCTAACTAATAATAATAAATATATTCCAGAATGTTCAGACACGTAGCTGTAATCGTTTTTCTGGGTTATGCTCTGGCTTTTCCTGAAGCCAGCGAAAGGTCGAGAAGGAGTACGACTGAAAACCCCTTAGTAACTACCCCTTTAGGTCAAATAAAGGGTACGGTTATGACTTCAAGGCTAGGCAAACCTATATATGCATTTAGGGGCATACGCTACGCGAAAGCGCCAGTAAATGAGCTGAGATTTAAGGTGAGATCATTTAATATGTACATATACCATTCACTGTCTGCTTGTAATGAGTATTATCTGATTGCAAATTGAATTTGCTCATAAATAGACCAAGGGCGTGAAGTCTTCCCACTCAACGCTAAGGCGCTAAGGGTGCGTTTACTTGGGGTGTTACAATCTTAAGATTATGAGATCAAGCTCTAGAGCGGGCAGGTTTGAATCAACTACTAGCCTTAAGTAACCCTAGGGTGCCTAAGATAGACCCAGAAACTGGTAGTCAAATAATTAACCATAAATAAAAAAAGTGTTGTGAGGAATTTGATACTCTGTTTTCAAAAACCAGTATTACGTTCCTTTTTCATTATGAGCATCCAAGTGGGTAGGCCTTCTTGTATTGTCTGGTCATTTTTAGATTGGAAAAATGAATTCAATTTCAATTTTATTTATTATTCTTAGCCTCCAGAGCCGGTAGAGAAATGGGAGGGCGTCTATAATGCCACTGAAGATGGTCCACTTTGTCCACAACCTACCACGGATCCTGTATCAGAAGACTGTTTAATATTAAATGTTTATTCCACCAAGGTTAGTATTTAACATGAACCTTCGGAGGCGTTATAGTAAACATTGTTACAACTTTTACAGCTTCCGAAGAGTGCTGAAAATCCGAAACGCTCTGTAATAGTCTACATACACGCTGGAGGGTTTTACAGTGTCGGTTCTACCAGTTATTGGGCTGGACCCAATTATTTTATGGACCAAGACATCGTCTTAGTGACTATCAATTACCGCTTGGGAACTTTAGGTAATATCATTCTTATAATATTGTCTTTAACTAATATCTTCTTTCACGTGACGAAAAATATTATTTAAAAAATGTAGATACCGATGTATTAAAGGGTATGTGTATTTAACATATTAGGTTTCTTGAGTACCGGCGACAAAGAAGCCCCAGGGAATAACGGCTTGAAAGATCAAGTCCAGGCATTGAAATGGGTGAAACAAAACATCGAGGCTTTCGGAGGGGACCCAGATTGTGTCACAATCATGGGTTATAGTGCTGGTGCGATGAGCGTTATCTTGCATATGGTTTCACCGATGTCCCAAGGTAAGTTCATAGTTTTGTATAATGAGAAATCTTCATTAGAAACCTTGTTTTATATATTACTTACAATTAGTATGTCGTCTCTCTCTATTAACATTTATTTATTAATTATAAATTCTAATTAATTACATTAGTGGCATAGTAATTTTTTTTTGTCTAACTACTAAACATACTTTATAATTAAAATCAAATTGTACACTTACTACGTATTGCTGTAGTAATAATAATTATTGCAATATTTATAGATCTGGCCCAGATAAACCTAACTATAAGTTATACGTCATATTTCATATTATTATAAATGTTATTGCAACTCAATAAGTACCTAGCTCTGAGAGTAATTGTTTCCCACAATATCATTAGTTAAAAATTTATAGATCTATTCCACAAAGCTGTTGCAATGAGTGGATCCCCTCTAGGCAATTGGCCTATTCCACACAATCAACTGGATCTGGCCAAAAAACAGGCTAAATTTGTAGGATGTCCAGATGACACCGCTGCCAATATCGTAAAATGCCTCAAGACCAAGCCGTTCAACGAACTGGGCGAATCTCTACCTAAATTTAAGGTAAAATTGATAGGCTTCTGTAAAAACTAAATATTTTAACTTAATTAATATTTGTGTTCTTATAGGAATTCGCAAATGACCCCGTCATGATATGGTCTGCTGTAATTGAACCAGACTTTGGCCAACCACGATTTTTGACGGCTCATCCCATCTATCTCATACAGAATGGTCAATTCAAAAGAGTGCCGCTTATCACTGGGTTAACAGAGGATGAATTTGGACCCAAGGCGTTCGGTAAGTATATCTGTGTTTTTTTTTTCAGGGTTTATATGGGGCGTAACTATGAATTAGAGATGGGTAACTCAGTACTGCGTTGCGTTATTGCGCTGAAGCAATGGCCTGCGCCACTGCGCTGATACCAAAATTATTATTGCGTTAACGCAATTGAGTTAACGCAGTGGGTTAACGCACTAGTGTGCGCTTGAGTTAGTGTATCAACGCAGGAAATTTTGCTGCGTTACCCATCTCTACTATGAATGAGGGTCATATTTATATAGAGGCTACCTTTGACCTTGAGGAAGGCATATCATAAGTTTGTTTTCTCAAATTTTGTTGTGTAACTGATTTTTTTTCAATAATCTGTTTTTTTCTGTAATTTACATACCCATACTTGATGTTGAATCTAATAATTTTACAATGAAGATACAAACACGCCAGACTGCCATGGTTGTTAATTAACTTTAATCTATTTTTTTGAGAAATAATAAAAATTGAAATTTTTCAAAAACTATTGACTTTTGCTTCGAGGCTAGGACTTTACATACATAAAAACCTAACCTAAACTGACTTAACCTAACTTGCCTGTTTAATTTTTTTTATTAAATTGGCTATCTATTGACTTAAATTTCCTTACCTCTTGTCCTATCACCTTTCCAAAGGAATGTATCAAATTGCAATTAGCCATATAAATTGCTGTATTCTCTTGACTTTTCTTCAGCTGTAATAAACAACGAAACCCTGACCAAGGAGATCAACAGTGAATGGGAGAAGAAAGCTCCAATTGCCTTCCTCTACGAAAGGGATACGGACTACTCAAAATCTATCAGCAAGGAGTTAAAAACGTTCTATTTGCACGACAAACCCGTGGATCAGTCCCAGCTCAAACCTCTGGCTCAGGTGTAGTAAAATATTTCACTGAAATTTTGTGGTAATTAAACCCTTTTTATTTCTCTACTTAGCTGTACGCGGACTCCGTAATAGGATTTGGGGTGAACAGAGCAGCAAAACTGTTTGCCGAGTACAGCAATACTTCCGTGTATTACTACCGTTTCAGCTATCAAGGCCGGTACAGCCTTTTCTACACTCCGGAGAGCAATAACACTGTTCCTTATGGTAAGTGAAAGAATGTAACTAGTCGTTTTTGTTTAATTTTTGTGTCTAGAGGGGTTTTATAAGGGTTTATTTTTTCTAGTTTTTTAGTAGAACAAAAATAAAAATTTGGTAATTTCTTCGCATTTTCCAGGGGTCATTCATCACGACGATTTGATGTATTTGTTCTACGTTTCGAAGTTATTCAAAGAGAGCTCTCCAACAGAAGTCGAAATGGTGTCAAAGTTGACGGCTCTTTATGCAAATTTCGCTAAAACTGAGTAAGATACTACATATTTTAATTAAACAGGACCGTTTTTTCCGAGTGTCTTTTAAAGTTTCAAATCAATTCTTATATGCTTAAAATATTACAAATGTGCAGAGTGGACGGCAATATAAACATAAACACATCCCGCAGTATGCCTTTAAGAAACTATTTACACATGAATTAATCACAATTGTTGAGAGTGTTATGTAATATGAAAAATAGAACTGCAAATATCCTACGAACATGATCAATTAAAGAAATCTTGTAATAAAAGTGCGATTTCTCATCTATAAAAGGCCGGCCTTAAATTTATTCCCAAGTAGGCTACCTGGTGAAACAATCCTAAATAAAATATGGAAACAAAAAGATTTCTTTGTAGAGCTGTATTTTATGTCTCTGTCATCAAAAATACAAGATATTTAAGTTTCACTATGTCACGTATGTATTTTTGTTATTATTTACTTTTAGACATTTCGTTTTTAGTTTTTATTTTGGATAATTATTTGTTATTAACTGTTTATCGGGTATTGTTGTCATGTCATGCATTTGGGGCGTGTACCCCATAGAGTAGTTGTTTCCTGCAATATCGACAATTACGAATTTTGCCCGTGGGGTTAAATACATTTTTCCACATCTAGATTTCTGGCATCGAAGAAAATTGTTTGATATACATTTGATAAGATTAAAAAAATTTATATATGTTAGAATTAGCTTTATTATTACTATTTGAAGTTATTTAATAAAAAATTTCAGGAACCCCATCCCAGCCCCTTCGGAGAAACTGGACAACGTGAAATGGGAGCCGTTCACCCTCAAAGAACAGAAGTACATGGACATCGGGAACAAGCTGCAGATGCAGGAGAAGCTGTACGAGAAGAGGTACGCGGAGTGGGAAAAACTGTTCCCCTTGGGTCAATACTCAAAAAATAAACAAAGCCACTAATCAGATTGTTACGGAGGATATCGTTTTGTTTTCACTTACTATTAATAAGACTTTTTTTAGAAACATACTTTATATACGATGTATATAATTATATTTTTGTGAAATAAAATAATTTCATGTTTAAGTGTCAATTTTTATTTACACTTTTATTGTCTCATGTTGTAAAACAAATACATAGAAAGGATTGACATTGAAAACAAATTCAAAAAACATATATTTCATTATTAGTTCTTACATTTTTTTAACTGTATTTTAAAGGTATTAGGCTGGTTATTCTATTCAAATTTAAAAATATTAAACCTTTAAAAATTCTTAATCATAATGTTTGTATTCTTAAATTAATTAAACGTAACAGTGTATTATCGGCTACATTTATTTTCAAGTTGAATATCCTCGCAAATATTAAAAACTGTTCGGCCCTGCCGCATGTCCATCTAATATGAGTAAGTAAAGTTTAAATAAACATATTATGAAAGACCCTTCCAGAATTTAAGTGTACAAGGGGACAATGCCAATATAAATCATAAATTGCTATATTTATGTACACAAAGGCTAATCTTCCAATTTGGCAATTTATCACCAATTAGGAAATTTACAAGACTACCCAACAAGTGCCCGAGTGAATCATATGACAATGACGTGGATTTAGAATAAGTAGGTTGTCGAGAACATTTAAAAATTACTTGAATGTTGATAAATTAAGGAGAACGATCTGGAAAAACTTTTTTATATAGGTACATAAATTAATTCTTTATCATGAGGCAAATGAGGTTGTTTTCTTAACATAATACGATAAGGTTCGACCGGCTACTAAGTGTACTTAATTATTGTTATCATTTATTATTGGTAGGTAGGTATTAACATTTCATGGAAAAGTTTGCGATTACATCCAAGTATTTTTCAGAAGACGTTATTCTGTTATCACAGGTAGGTATATGTATATTGTTTGTATACTGTGCCTGATTTACCTGTAGGCTGGTGTAGGCTGCAGCCTACAGGCCCCCATCATGTTAACAAAAATTTTTTTTATGAAAACTAATTCTTTTTTAAGATTTTTTTTAAGACCTCATCATGAACAAGAAAGAAAAGTTATTCTGAAAAATATAATTTTTTATTCTTAAAATTTGAATTCTATCCAATTTTTTTTTGGGGGGGGCTACCAAATAGAAATTTTTTTTCTAGAATAGGCCCCCGCCAATTTTCAGCCTATAGGCCCCCACCCCAATCAGGCACCGAATGTATATACCCATATATTCAGTGAAATTTGAATAATGCAAATCAGACAGAATGTAATAGCGCATTATGTATACAGGGTGATTCAGAACATATCCAAAAAAAAAAAATTCTGGATGTACAGGGGACCCTTACAAATACAATTTTGTAAAGAAAAAATCAAAAAGGTCAGTTCGAAATTGATTTAAAAATACACTTCTGCACGGCACTGGAAACTGGTCCACTGTAAAACCTGACCTCGCACAATGCGACCGGTATGGCGGCGTGATAAAAACGGACAAAAACTTTCGCAAGGAAAGAAATATGTAAATAGAATTTTATCGCACCTATTTTATATCGGCAAATTCAAATGCTTTTGCCTTTATTAATTATTAATAAAATTAATTTGTGTTTTTAAATAATAAAATCATTTGACATACCCGATGCTGCAACAGCAATTGTTCAAAATTTTATCCACTCACGTGTAAACACATTTGGGTCCGTCTTACTCACTTTCTACGAACTAACACAAATGATGTCTTGCTTCACCATAACACAAATACTTCACCATAATACAAATGTTGTCTTGCTTCACCATAAATTAAAACGATATCCATCAACTCTGAGTTGCTATACACGCAAGCCATTTTTGACACTAACTACTAAAAAACTGATGTAAATACCACAGATAACAGGTAAAAACTACCGCAACGACGGATTTCAGTATCAGGAGTCACATGGCTCTCCACGCGTATTGCGAATGACGCTAGAGACTACAGTTGTCCAGCTATGTAGTGGTTTAATGTGCTATAACTTCAATAACTTTTTTCTCAGAAACTATAAAGATTTTACAAAAATTTTTTTTACAATATTGACTCCATTCCTCATTCCAAAATTTGTTTGGATAAGTTGTGAATCACCCTGTATAGGTACCTGCGAATCGATCAGTGGAAATATGGAATATAACTTTATCTTCAGAAAAAAAAATCTAACGAACAATAAATGACAAACATTTTTCTATCACTATAAAACAATAATTTTAAATTTCAGGAAAACGTTTAGACTTGGTTTGTATTAGCTATAACATAACGTCTGTATTTCGGATGTCTCAAATAATAACATTAAAAAAATATATATCGAGAATATTGTTTTTTCTTTTCTCGATTCATTTTAAAAACAGAAACTTTGCACTGCTAACTGCTACAGGGAATATACCGTTTAGGACTTGAACAACACTCCGTAAATTATTCAATTTAAATAAATAAAAACATGCACTTACAGTTTAGTTTGTTAGAGGTCTCTCTCAATGTATCTATTATAAACATGTCGCGAAAAAAACGCTTTGTCTAGTAGTGTACTTATGTTTGCGTAATGCAGTCATGTTTTGTGTAAAAAATTAATAATAAATAATAATAGTGTAAGTGAATAAACCTTTATTATCTTTTTAGACAATGCATTACATAACTATTATATAAGATTAGTCAAAAGAAAGTAAATACAGAACATAAATCAATAAATAGTAAATTAATTCATATGTACACCTAAACAATACAATTAAATTTAAAATTATTGTATATGAAAATATGTGTTTTAAAATCTTAAAAACATTTGTCTTTTTGATATGTTTTCAGGTTTCTCTTGAAAGTCTATAAGTACAGTTGTTAGGTTTTTATATCTGTGGGTCGTGACTGATAATCTAAATATACATATAAGAGAGAAAGTTAAGGAACAATTGCGCCAAAGGGTTTTTATTGTTTCGTTTGTTGTTCACCTAATATACTTCACTCATTCACTCAACTCAACGCCTAAAGATAATAACATCGCAAAATGCTATTAAATTTAGGAGTGCATTTTAGAGAAAGGGGTGCATTTTTGTTTTTGATCTGACATGGTAGTATTACCGCAAAAACATAATTCGTATCGGGTCCGTGATTCAACTTTGCATAATATAAATTAAGCAGTTGTTAATGCTATAAATTTTGATATTTGTAAGTACCTATTATGGAATTTATTCTGGAAATTAAATTTTTATAAGTTCTCCATTATGTATTTGTATGTATGCATACCTAAAAACTTGTATTAGATTTTTTTCATGTGAGTAGTAAATGTTAATACTATTACATAATTTCAGTTTGTTATAAAACCCCATTGCAAATGTTTTCTTTGTGTTTTCTTTGAATTGAAGGCTCTTTGAAACCATACCCTCAAGTTATTTGTTACATTACTACATATTGGTTTTAACAATTCGTCACTTTTACTTGACATTGTTATATACGTTATCAGCGTTAACAGTAAATTGAACGAATATCGAATAAATATTCATGTCATTCACTATAGCAAAAACAGTACTGGACTTAATTATCTAGATCTTTACGGAACAACTATTATGATTTCTGTTATTTCTGAATAAAATAGTTTCTATAGATTTAATGCCACTATAATTAAGAGAAACACTTTTAGAAATAAAACTTTAGGCTCATTAAGAAAGTATAATAAATTTTCTAAAAATCCACACTCCGATATCTTTGAAAAACCTATAATTATATAAGTGTGGCCTGAAAGGTTTAATTAATAAATCTAATACTCTCTTTATTAAGAAGATTGGTAAATAGTCAGCCAGAAGCCAGAAGAGACAAATCATTAATAGACAAGATGGCTGCCTCGAACAACAGCGCGCTAGGTGTCCCCTTGACAAATAAATGTAAAAAGTGTAGTAAAAACGTAGTGAAAAATTATGTTAAGTTCAAGCGTATTTCACATTAGCTGTGCAAAAATGTGTAAAACGATTATGAGTATTGGTGTTGCAGAAATAAACTGTTGTGATACAGAGGTAGTTGTTGACAGTGCCGATGCATTTTTCGATGCTATAGAAGAAAAATCGGTAGACAATAAAATGGACATTAATATTTTTAAATATATAATTAATCAAAAAGACTGCCTGATTAAGGAGTTAAATGACAAGATCATTCTTCTTAATAACCATATTGATTTATTAAACAAATATAATTCCCTTCAAACAACTGTAAAAGAATGTGATCAAAAAACACTAATGTTATCACCGGCTGTAGAGGCGAAGAAGGTGCCGGCAAAAAGTGTCGATAAGAATTTGTGTATACAAAGAAATCAAACAGCTGTTGGTGAAAACGGTAAACAAATGGAATTGAAAGTAGTTACACAAAAACAGTTATCAAATGACTTATTAAACGTCGAACATAAGATCAAACTGGATAAATATATAAATCTAAACAAGGGCACGACATATGAAGATGGACAAGTAGACATCTTAAAAATGCAACACGATGCACCACATTTGTCTCATAATATTCAGAACCGACCGGAAAATAATTGGAAGCAAGTTACCAAACGCAAACGCAAACATCAAGAGTTGAATGACAATTTTTCAACCGCAACTTTTATTATTAAATGTTTGTAGTTTAAATGAAGAGGCAATTAATTATACACTGAGCTCGTAAAGTTTGGAATAAATTCGAAAAATCGTTACTGAAGGGTTTTGATAGGAAATGCTCGGACACGTCAACTTTAGTTTATAAAATGTCACTTTTTTTAGCAATCGACTTTTTTTTTGTTTTGTTTGTTTTTGATCTATGACGTCATCGGCAATTTTTTTAAATGGCAACCCATATTTTTTTCCACGGATTTCGATAGAGCACATTTTTCTGAGTACGAATATGTCAAAAACGCATGACCTTCAAGATGGAAGTTTTCGAGATATTCGGTTCCAAAGTTTCAAGAATGCATTATACAAGCGATGACAAAATACTAATCATTTATCAAGGAAGCGCTGGAAAAATTACAGTTTTGATAGTTGAAGTTTGTTCTCGCAAGTTTGTGTTTTAAACTGTCTATTATCTCGAAAACTTCCATCTTGAAGGTCGTACGTTTTTGACATAA